TGACAGTGAATGGTTTAAGCGTCCTTCCAAGTTCTTAACCCCTAAGTGCTCTCGGCGAGTCACGCAGGTAATTGTATGTGAACAGTATGTGGAACATTTTCTAGATTAGCAATAAATCCTTTGTATCTTCCGACCATTGCGGCAGCACCATCTGTTGCACATACAACTATGTTCTGTATTAGAATGGGGTTTTCAGTCAGATAGCCATTGACTACCTCAGATACAGACTGGCCCTTTATATGAGTTTTAATTCTCCTGGCAAGCTGCATCTCTTCCATTAATACATTATTATTTAGAAAAATCGGACATATGCCAAAGAGAAGAGCGTCGTTGTCAAGTGAAGTAGATTCACCTATTTGTAACGGAGATTTTCTGGACTGCAGCAAAGTAACGAAGGTACTATGTCCTGAGCCATGTCATCTATTCCCCTCAATACCATCGAATTGCTGAGCGGAATGGCTTGAACTGCTTCTTGTAGATTCATGTTCATCAGGTCAAACAGTAATTTTGATACTGAGGGCAAGGTAATATTTTCTCCAACTGTATCTGGACTGCAATTTTTGGCAAGCAACTTGCTGATTTTATAAGACCTATTAAGTCTATTCGCCATTTTTCGCCCTGTCAGAAACCATTGTCTTTAAACTTGGTTATTTACGAAACTATCCATAGACTTTCCGCTGTCGTCCTTTTGAACACTTTCCAAATGAGTTCTCAGTTTGCTTGGTCGCATATTTCCATTTGTATGTGTTTTGGCGAATAAAACACATAGATTGAGTGAAGTTTTGAGTTGATGCGATAAATCAAATAACAGGTATTCCACGGAGCACTCTCGACACTTCATATTTGCCCAGTAGGTTATTTCTGAACTATGTCATGCTAAATTTCTAATATGTAATATATATGCTACCTTTGTTTTATATTTCTCACAGTTATATCATGGGTATCTAATAACCTCATTCGACAAAGCGAAATACTCAGATGGTATGAATAATTGGTGGCATTAAATTTATTCTTGCTTGACTGTGAGATTATAAGATACGACATTTAGTAAGCATACTTATAACATCTGTTGATGGCTACAGTGTTACAAGGTAAACGTGTAGAAGGACTATTAGTGACAACCCAAAGGTGGTTTCTGAAGATGACTTTGAAAATACCGTGGGTATCTAAAATAACTGAAAAAACTTTTGCAAAAAGTCTATGAGGAAAACAAATAAAACTCAGAAAACGACAATGCTCGGTGACACATATTCACTACAGGAAAGCTACACCAAACAGTGACAACAGGTAAAATGTAGAAAATGTCGGATACTTCTAGAAACTGGCATGGGACAGTCAACAACGAAACTAATGACGTACATCTGATATTGCCAAACATGACGCTCAATGCGTGCTAGCATGGCATTTGATTGGTATGGGTGTTAGGGAAGTATCTTCGTGTACACATAATATATATCCACCTTAGAAACCGGACGTCCACATGTATGATGTGACCTGACAACATTGCTCGTTCATTTGAAAACTTCAGCTGGAGACTGTGTTAAAAAAGTGTTATAACGCCTGGCTGTTTCGACTGTTAGTCGGAGCGGACGAACGTTCTTAAGAAATAGTACTGCTCGTGCGCAGAGTAGCCTCTCGGATTCGGAACGTTGCGGGTTAACCTGGCCTAACCGTCAGAGGTACACGCGAGCTAAGACTGGAGACGAAAAACGCGTAACCTAGCGCTTCTGCATTGAGACTCGAACGAGGAAGACTGATCGGCACATCAGTTCTCACAGTAGAAAAACAGTAAGTGTCAGCATTGCTTTGTGCGATAACTGCCACAGTGTACTGACGAGAGTTCGCTAGGTTCGCTGCAGCTTGCACAGTAGATGAATCGGTGTCTTGAATGAAGCTCAGTTGGTCAATTGTGGATAAGCATCTAAGTCCTGAAGTCTATTCGGTCGTTAGTTGCACAGTCCAAGTCGCCGTATGGTGATTGTGTGTTTGAGTTGAGCCCGGCGAAATCAGCATAGGTTTGGCGGTTATGCCGGCTCTGCAACAGAAAACCTGTCCAGTCTGGCTTTTACACCGTAAACAGCCAATTGCGCGCGTAATTCGTTTCCTTACCCTGCAGTTAGTAGGTGAGATTAGTGCGCGCTGAGAATGTATCAGAAAATTTTTAAACATGAATTTTGTTATTTCTGTTTTCAAAACCCACTTTTCACAGCATGGCCCCCCTATGGCTCCCCTAAAGAATTTACTCATCCTAGGGCCTCCGGGAATTCTCTATGACCCCTCAGGGGGGCATATAACTCTCATTGAGAATGGCTGGCTTAGACCATCGCATTCGCCCCCACATTCTTCAGAACCATGATACTGGCAATCTGATCCGGAGTTGGATAGTCAGTTTTGTACATGAACAGCGCTTGGAGGCGAATTATGGGCATCCCTGTCCGAAGTGAGGTCGAGTGTGGCGTACCACAAGGCGCGATACTATTTCCTCGCCTATTCTTGGTTTCCACAAATGATCTAGCAACGGCAGTCATTTCCGAGTGCTTATTCTTCTCGGATGTAGCAAGCGGTCAGGAGACCGGACAAATACAAAGAGCTTCAGCGCGATCTTGGCGAAATTTCGAGTAGGTCAGCTCAGAATATCTTACTTTTCAATGTTGTGAAATGTCAGTATGTTCAACGACCCGATAGACACCTACATTTATAGGTATGTGGCATGCAGTTTGCAGACCAGTTCTTAGGAGCGCGACCTTCGTGTGCTCTTACAGAGTGACCGCGATTGTTCAAAGGCAGCTCCAAGAGGCTACCAGTGCGTCGGCTTGTTCGGAGGGCATTCGGGTGTTTTGACCCATCAATGTTCCCTTACTCTTACTTCCGGTCTGATGTCAAACGCGCTATCTAAGTTTGGTAACCTTGGTTAAAGCGCGACTTTGGGGTACTGGGGACACCACAACTTCTGGTAACAATGGCTACGTAACGGTCTCAAATTGGTGTGCCGCTTATTTAGTGACCCAATTCACGTATTCTGACATTTACTGAAACTCAGCCAGAACGCCATCTTCAGGGGTAATGGTCTCGTCTAGAATACCGACAGAATTACTTTTCGCTTCAGATTTGCGAACCGTGGAGCTTTCTTCAGACTCGGTCGTTTTATCCCCCAATTTTGATACTCAAAAAGGCTTGTATATTATAGCTCCTAACACCTCATCACTTAGACTGTGCTACTGAATATCTTTATGGTATACTCATAATGTACTTACGAACTACATACATACCATGTAGCGGCATATCAGTGCGCGTTTTTATTTTCATTTTCCCACAAAAATGTCAACTACAACTGCTTTCCACATCGTTTAGTGTGCAATTATTCAGTTTTGATTTCACACTCTCGGCATGCATCAACACATCTAAAGTGTTGATGACACATCTTTTTTGACTTTGTATTTTCCATCCTAGTCTCTCTGTGAGACTTTTTAAGCATCTTTTTTATCAGTGATAAAACACCGTAGAAACAGTAGAAACATACCGTTTCTATTGTCAGCTCACAGGATCGTTCCTACCGGTGGTCTAGCACAGCGCGCTACAAGGATTACTGTTAGCCTGGCCTGTTATGTCCACGTAACTTCTCTCTATTGTCTGTTCTCATTTGTCTGTTAACTCATATCAGTTAAGTGGCGCTTGCTTGATCTGTCACACACGGACGCCCGAATCATGAACGATACACCCAGCTGAACTGAAGTGCTGTATATTAAGCACCTTCGATTAAACACAAGGGTATGTGAAAATCCTTGTTCAAAATCAAAATAGGCTTTATGGACATAACTATGTGCATTACCAGCATTTATACTATCACGGCGGGTACACTGAATAAATTTATTGAAGGGTTAAATAGTCAAAAGTATGTGGATGTCATTCAATCAACCGTATACACAAAATATTTATGACTTACTTATGGTCGACAAGAAAGCATGACAAATAAGGCAAGGTTGTATTACGATACGAAGAATTGTGAGAGAAAAAAATTCTAATTTTTTAGCGTATATGAAAGACCGATAACGTTTATGAGAGAGCGTTATGTAGCGGTTACAACTGGTCACTTAGGACCTTAGAAGAAAGATTCATGCAAGCGTCAAAGTGCTTGCGATTAATAAAATCAACTGTGGAATCTCTAGGAATTCCACCACATCTGGAAATATATTTAATCCATCGCACAATCAAAACCTAGACCTTTTACAGTAGCCCAAGGAAGATTCTTGGGGAACAATATAATCAGTGGGGTAGTATACATGTAGTTACCAAACGCAGAATTAAGGTTTGCGGTACAGGGAACTTCTTGAGCCGGAAAGCATAAATAGATTACTTCCTGACCTTGTGAAACGTCCCCAAAACATGCATGTGGTGGTGGGCCTCAAATCGGTCAGTCCTGATCAGCATAAATTTAATGCTTATTCTACATGAGGGTGTACGTAGTCGTTTGACATCTACCGGTAACTGGACAGATCAACGCGGTTTAACCTCCCCCCCCCCCCGCCCACAGAAGACCGACATATTAGTTTCCAGCCGTTGACACTTTCTCACTGAGCATCGAACAGCCGGCGTCATCCCGAACCATTAACCCAAGGTCACGCACCTACGACGTATGCAAATCATCCTGCCTTTAAACGGAATAAACTGCAACAGAGTCCTAAATGTGCATTCATAAGTACTGTTTAAATCTCATTGGACTTATCCATCACCTTTTTACTCGGCGATCTCTTGTTATATAATCGTCACAAGAAGTTAGAAATCTGAGGCGATCATGCGAGTATACTCATTAATCAACCGACAATTAAGCAGATGTGAATTGCGAGTTGCGTGAGTAGCGAGTTAAGGTCCCTTGACCCATAAGTATTCCTCAATTCTCCCACCAACCTTCCGTATTTTATTTAACACCACTGATTACGCGTTTCCCATTTCGTTCGTTCCTTCACTTCATCACTTCTTTCCGATAACTTATTTGTCTGCAGGCTTTTCAGATTATGTTGCTATACATGTATACGGATGAACTCCAGCTGGGCGAAGATCTAGACATCGTATTCTACGTTTTGTACGCATCTAAGAAATACATGCTCCCTCAGCTTGGCCGGCAGTGTGTGGAGCACTTGAAAGTGAGCTATTGTTTTCCGCATAAAACGATTTTTCCCAATACTCCGTAAATTGTTTACTACAAAACATTCAATGAATACTCGATAGATGTTGTTCTTTAGCCAAATTATGGCGGCAATCTCATATTTCCTGCACAGTCCTTCATAGAAAAAGTTAGATGGACAGCCACGAAAACTATCCAAGGTAATGGGTAACCACTCTGTCTTTTCGTTTACACCTCGTCACATGCACCAACACAAATCTGTCGGCCGCCGTTTATTTCCTTGCTAGAAGGGCATTAATACCAACCTCTTCCGTTGCAGCATCACACTTTGCCATTATTCATTCTAGTGCCATACAATGACCCGGTTCGATAAATTAGCGTTCTCTATAATAACAAACGCTTGCATTTTATCAACCGTCGATATGGCTAGTCAGTTAGTCAGATGTATATAACGAACGAATTGCATCTGTCTTGATTGCTTCGGCTGCCATGTGCGACAAATGCACTCTTCTGTCGTGTGCCTTACGTCAAGGCTCAACAAACCCTTATCATAGCGAGCCGCATAACTAGCAAAATCACTAGCGAAGGCCGCATAATTATCCTACCCAATACCTGAAAGATAGAACGCAAACTCCGGAAAACTGGGTAATAAAAACATGACACTCGATTCCACTTTATTAGTAGCCATTTTGAAGGGTGAATCAAGCCCGATCTGGACAAGAAACGATGACAAATTACAAGAAATAAAATTATAATGAAGCACTAGGAAACCAGAGGACAATGTTGCAACGCTACTAATTGATTCCATCCCACGTCCACACTGAGAACACGAAACACGACTCAGGACATTACTGCATATACGAAAATCCTGTTTCCCTTCTATAAAGTAAATGCCTCTGTAATCCTTCACAGACTGACTGCCGCTCGGAACAACAAGATCCGGGAGGAGCAAGCTGGCTTTCGTCGTGCTACGGAGTGCCCGGATCACATATTCACATTACATAACTATTTAGAGCACCGTCAAACGTACAGTTAGTCCCAGAAGTCTTGTTCATTATTACTCTGTTACTCCGTGCCCAAGGCTCCCGCCTCCGGTTTAGAGAAGAGCGCACTAAATTGCCAACTGTCCAATAGTAGATGTTGGTCTATCACAAAATGTCTCTCACCCGATCACATGGTGTGAACGACCGGAGTGGTGGTCGTATGCATGCCTCCGAATACAAGTGTACTTGCCAGCCTCGTCCATCGTGAAAACGCTGGATGGGCGCGATAGTTGAGTTGAAGTCAACCACGGCACGCCACAGGGCAAGTTCACCGATCGATACCTACCGTGTTTCAGGCTGGTTGGAACGAATGCAGGCGTGCAAAATCAAGACAGCAGTGCATCATCACCCGGCTACTGCGCTAGAACTGTGGTGGCGCTTACACGGGCCTAACTGACCTGGGCAAGGAGTGTTCAATAGATGCTGTTATCCCAGCTAATGACAAAGGGGTTATTGGCAACGTTCTTGTAGACTGAAAGTTAGCTTCCAACAATCCACCTTAGCAAAATAGGCATTGCTTACAGTTAGGACTTGTAACTATGAAATGCAACGATTTCAGAACGGAGTCATGAAAAGCTATGTCGCCTAAAGACTACTCGTTGCCGCATAGCCTATTCTGCCGTCACAGTATTGAGCGTTCATTCCAACATATTCGCTGATGAGGCAATAATCCATTAGTATGGAACTGAAAAGCTGCATTTCTAGGCAATATTTAATCCTCACGGATACTGCGATTAATGTATTCCACAAAGCGAGAAGTGCATTGGCTCGCAAAACTGATTGACAAATCGTGGGACCACAGCACACGAATGTGGGCTCTCACGCATACTGTCCCTGCGGTAACTTTGTTGACACATATTGCTGCAAACTCCGATTATCACATTCAAAGGATCGATAAGCCACCCTTTCATAGTCTGTATTCTTACTGAAAAATCGTTGGACCATCTTTCTTTCCACTTTGTATGACCGGTATGTTATTGTTTAGAAGCACTCATCCCACGCACAAGTCTGCACACCGATGAACACGATGAAAATACGAAACCGCGTAGCCTATTCTCACATCACCATCTCGTTCACATCCTCCACGTGTTTCTTAGTCATAACCATAAAAACAAGCATTGGCATTGTGAACCAGGTTGTATAAAAGTGGTCAGTCTAAGTGCTGTCAAATCAGCTTTGCTCGTTGAATGCAATCTGGCCCGACGCAACGTTGCCACCATTTGCACGTGTATCAGTTTAGTCCAGAAATCAGTGATAACGGTGAATATGTACATTAACCTTAACAGCATAAAACGGTGATATATTCGTCAATGAAAATGATTCTCAATGTGCTCACCGGCGTTCTGCTTGCAGTGCGGAAATCGCCCTAGACAGTAGGCTATAACCTTTTGCAAAGTTTCCATGTTGATGGCGCGACATTCGTGGAAAATGATGTCTTTCAGTTGTTCCAGTGAAATAGGCGTTTTCATGTAAGCTCTTCTTTTCAAATAACACATAGGAAGAAATGTAAGGAAATGTAAGGAGTTTAAATCAGGTGACCGGGCCGGCCAATCCTTTGGACCTCCGCGACCGAACACCTCGTTAAGATAATCCCGCACCATTTGTACATAATGGGTAGGTGCGTCATATCGTAGCTATAACGTCTGAAGCGAAGTGCCGAAGTCGCCAACGGGAATCGCTGGTGGAAACATCTCTACATTGTAGCTCCTACGTTACTTTCTAGCGACAGTTCCCTTATCGTGTGAGAACCACGATTGACAGAGGAATGGTGGTAATCATAATTGAGTTACATGGCAAACACGTGGTTGACGTCATATCTGCAACGGAAGTACGTGACCCTGGCTTGCAAGAAGCGCCTAACGCAGCCTACTGAGCTTCACCGGTTTCGTCCACCGCCGTCAAGTTTACAGTAAACATTAACAGCGACACCTGCAGCCTGTCATACAATTGAGTGATCGCGCGTTTCTCACGTACTCTGTCTTGTTCTTTTTTCTCGCAGCGTTTATTCTACCGCAACGAAGTATTCCTACCATTACCCATCGCAACAATGTGGTAGTGTAATCAATCCTTATGTATTATACATACACATGCATGACGTATGTTTCAAGAGTAGAAAAATCAACGAAGTAGATGTTCAAAATGACCACCGTCCTTTCGTTTGTAGAGTACTATTCGCCCGATGTTTTTGATTAGCACTTTCTGTAAAGTGTCCACCGATATACCGCGATATGCGTTGACGATGCTCAGTTTCAGTTCCGTCGGCCTGCAGCTGTGTAATGGCACAGGCCTGCATCATTTCTTTGTAGGGGGGGTGCTAACACATCTGAAGGGTTAGTTCTGTTAATAAATCAAGTTACCTGTCGGAAAAATCAACGTAGCAGATGTTCGAAATGTCCAACGTCGTTTCGTTTACACAACAGTACTCGCCGGATTTAATTGGCTGACGCTTTCTGCAAAGTGTACACCAAAATACCGTGTCATTCGTTGACAATGTTCCGTTTCAGTTCTTCCAAGCAGGTTGTCCTAGTTTTATACCCTCGGCGTTTCAAGTGTTCCCATAGGAAGAAATCTATGGGGTTTCAAATCCGGTGACCCTGCATGCCAATCAATAGGTCTTCCAGTACCAATCCAACGATTCCCGAAAGTTTACTTAAGTTTCAGTAAGAATACAGACTATGAAAGGGTGGCTTATCGATCCTTTTGAATGTGATTATCGGAGTTTGCAGCAATATGTGTCGACAAAGTCACCGCTGGGACAGTATGCGTGAGAACCCACATTCGTGTGCTGTGGTCCCACGATTTGTCAATCGGTTTTGCGAGCCATTGCGCTTCGTGCTTTGTGGAATACATTAATCGCAGTATCCGCGAGGATTAGATATTGCCTAGAAATGCAGCTTTTCAGTTCCATACTAATGGAATATTGCCTCATCAGCGAATATGTTGGAATGAACGCTCAATACTGTGACGACAGAATAGGCTATGCGGCAACGAGTAGTCTTTAGGCGGCATAGCTTTTCAAGACTCCATTCTCAAATTGTTGCATTTCATAGTTACAAGGCCTAACTATAAGCAATGCCTATTTTGCCAAGGTGGATTGTTCGAAGCTAACTTTCAGTCTACAAGAACGTTGCCAATACCCCTTTGTCATTAGCTGGGATAACAGCATCTATTGAACACTGCTTGCCCAGGTCAGTTAGGCTGGTCCAAGCGCCACCACAATTCTAGCACAGTAGCCGGGTGATGATGCATCATCAACATCATTATACATGTCAGCTAGAGATGGTAAAACACCTCCGCTATTGTACCGCAATACATAAAGGAAATACATACATACATACAATACATAAAGGAAAAATAAATACGACAGTTGAATGCCAGCTGAGCTACCTGCAACGGATACGCATCGTCCCGGTAAGCTACTAGCCGGCTACTAGGCAAAAACAAAAATTTAATTACGTTTTACTCTACGAAATAAGATCGTAGATGGAGGGGGAGGCTAAAGGGATGGGGAGGGACAAAGAAACTCACAGCACGAACGCCACTGAGGTCGGCTCCTTGCCATATCAGCAAGTGTATCCAGCCAAACGTGTTCACCGTCTTTTGGACCCCAACCAGGGAGCCGTGAAGCTCCAACTGAGGCCAGCTCCGAAGTGAGGGCCTTCATTCCTCTGGACCAAGTCATCGCTTGGCCACCTCTCCTCTTCTTCCACCCACATCCCCGGTGAGCAAACAACGCACGTCGAGGGAGTCGGTGGGCTGGCATGCGTAACACGTGGCCCAGCCATCGGAGCCTGGTGAGTGAAATGACGGTGCTGAGCGGTTCATTCCCTTTTCCTAGGCCGTAAACAAGGCGTCGAACACGCTCGTTACTCACGCGGTGTTCCCACCAGATGTGAGCCAAACTGCGAAGGCACCGATGGTCGAACGTAAGTAGCCTCTTCATGTCCGCCGATCTTAGGGGCCAGGTTTCGCAACC